TTCTAAAAGCAAGATATTCCACTGGCTCATTGTCCTCACTGTTAGGAAGTTTCTCCTTAATTCCAAGTTGCTTTTTTCGTTGATTAGTTTCCAACCATTGTTTCTTGTCCTGCCCACTGGTGCATTGGAGAATAATTTGACCCCCCCCCCTTCTTTGTGGCAGCCTCTTAAATACTGGAATACTTGCTATCATGTCACCCCTAATCCTTTTTTTCTTTAGACTAACCAAACCGAAATCCTGCAGCCGTTCTTCACACGTCTTAGTCTCCAGGCCTGGACACCGGCGCCCATTGGAGAAACAGAGCCGGTTTCGCGGCACGTGCTCCTGACTGAGGGGGGAGATGGGGGGGCGGGGAAGAGCTGAAGCTGCAACAGGAGGGGCGTGGCTTGCAAGGCGGAAGCGGAATCAGGGGGGAGAACAGAAACCTCGGCCCCTCCTCCCTCCCGTCGCTGGATCTCCGGTTCCCGCCGCTAGTTCCACTTCGCCCGGCGGGAATCGGCGCTGGGTCCTTCGGGAGAGGCGTCTGGGTCCCGCTCGGGGCAGGTAGGGCTGCTCTCCCTCCGGCCTCCCCTCCTCCCAAGAGATCTCCTGCCGGCCAGGAGGAAGGGAGCTGCGGACCCCGCTCTTGGACTTGCCGGCTCTTCCTCGGGGAGATCCGGCTCTGGCTTTGCCTGCAGGGAGCGGCTCCCTCCCTTCCCTCCTGTGGGGCAAAGGGGGTTCGGTCCCCGGGCTGGATCTGCCCCCTCCTAGCCCTGCCAAGGCTCCCTCGGGGGCTCGTGGATCCGAGAAGGACCTTTGGCGAGGTTGCTTTCAAAAGGTCTCTCTGTGGTCCGTCGGAGCATGCATATCTCGGAAGGGCAGTTGCAAAAATGGAGTAAAGTAAACGGAGCTTTATTGAGATTTGTAGGGTGGTATTAACACAAACTGACCTCATTGCAATGGGAAGGGGAGGGTTTGTGGGAAAGAAAAGGTTTAAATTAGTTGAGCTCTTGCTTTAATCTACAAGAGATTCTCTTGGAGCTCAAAAGAAAAAGGCTAAAAATGAAACCGTTTTATGCTAACGTTTACTTTGCCTCTGCTTTAAAAAGCTGAGTATACTTTCTAAACTTTATATTTTCCTTGTTTTGCCCAGGGGCTGTGACGTGGCAGTGCCTCCTTGGTTGGATGTTCTCGAAACCATAAATGTTAAGGAAGTTTTAATGGGTGATCTTGTGAGTAGCTGCTAGAACCAGCTGGTGGCCAGAAGGTTGCCTTACATAATTGTAAGTATTTTCCAAAATGC